GAAATTAGATGTAGATGAAATTTTGGTTTCTTTATAAAAATAAAGTGGCATTTAGACTTGAAAAGTGGGTAAGATTCTGTTCTTTCAGGAGGTGGAGGGGATTTCCCCAGCAGAACCGGAGCAGGTCTGGGCTGCTGCGGCGACAGGGCGTCAGGGTCTGCTGCAATGCCTCGTTCAGGAGCAGCCACACTAAGCAACAGCTTGTCATGTGAGAGACAGAATTCCAGGACTCCACTGTGGCGGTGAGTCGCCCCAGCCGCTCCAGAGAGGTGTGTCGGGTCCTGGAGTGGCCCAGCTCCCTAGCGGGGATCATTCAGGGGTCACTCATGACTCCCGTCCAGGTTTGGCTCAATGAGTCTCCAAGGAAGGTGAGGCACTGAGACCATTTTCCACATTAAAAATATGTATCAGATTCCGCCTTTGACACTCTTGGTAGATATGGTCCTTAGTTGCACAATAGTAATATTAAAGAGTGCTGATTTTTAAATGACTAACTTTCATAAAAAAACCAATCAGTCATTCAAAAGAAGCCAGAACTCCTGGCCCTGGCAGCCTCTGCCCCAGGCCCTGAGGGGCACAGCTGCCCCAGTGTGCTGAGCCCCTCCTCCACAGAGGACCCACTGTCTGTGACAACCTTTGTACAAGACAGTTGAGGGGTGAGGGGGACTGGTGAATGGGGTAAGTTTATGCCCACTCTCTGTACCCCATTGCGTAACAGCAGTATAACAGGAAATGTTTCCCAATTCTAGAGTAAAAGATACTACGCCACTGCAAAGTAAGGCAGTGGAAATGTAGATGTTATCACAGAACACAGCTACACATGATGGTTTTCATTCACAACATGGGTTCTGTTATCTCTTTCTCTAACTAGTGGGTGCCTTTGAACAAGTCACTTCATCCCTTCTCCCTTGGGCCCTGGCTTCTTGCCGCTGAAAAATGACTGAACTTGAACTTGATGGCTTCCTAAGGTCCTTCCTACCCAACAGTCCAACAAGCTCTGGTCTGGCATTCCTGGAAAATGGCTTGTAGGTGGCCAAAGAGTCTCAGGAGCCATACCAGGGAGGGAGATACAGTGTGCCAGGCACACTGTTTGATAAATGATTTAACTTCTCTAAACCTCTGTTTTCTCATCCATGAAATAGGTATATTAATATCTATCTGATGAAATGATGATCGGATGAAATCAAGCTGTGTCTTGTCTGAATACTAGATGGCATAACTAAGTGGGAGGGCATCTTTAAAGACTAGCTACCATACCACGGAAGGATTCCAAGTGATGAGTTACATGGTCACGTGGTTGCTGTATTGTGTGAATTGGAGGAAAGCAAAATAAAGTCGGGGAGACAGTGAGGAGCCTTTAGAGGATTGTGACTCCTAATATGCATTCTATCCTTCTCATTGGGTAAAAATGGTGACATCTAATTGATAGATATCAGCTCCAAGGTGATCCTTGTTAGAATCATTCTTTCTTTTCTCAGAGCTAAGCCAATTTGAGCCTCTGAGATTTGAGCAGGGCTCTGAGAGTCTCTGAGAAAGCTGGTTACTTGCTTTTAAGGAAAACCTCAGGAAACCAGTGTCTCTGCTTGGGCATAAATGCAATCATGCAGAACTGGTGACTGTTGACTGATGTCTTATAACCAATGAGGAATGTTGGCCTTCAAATGATTTTGATATTGGTTTTAAATGGAAGTTAACATTCTGGTAGGTAGCAGAGCAAGGATCTCAAAAGACTAGAGTCTTCAATGGCTTTGTTGGACCACAGGACTAGAGCTATTGTGGGGTGGACTGAACCTCACTTTTTAAATTTTACATGACTTAACTGGGACACTGAATGGCACTGCATGTCTTGTAAAGCTACAAGTCTACTCAAAGACATTAGAGTGAGTAACCAGAAGGAGACGGAAGGGGAATGGGGAATGAGACTCTGAGGCAAAAGGGAAAATGCACGGGTGGATAAATACATGAACTACAAACTTGAGTCTGAATAACTCAGTTTTATACTCCTAAATGTAAAACAATCATGATAAATTGAAGGCACTTAAGAGATATGTAAGGAAAAGCTTTAGGAATGGAATTAGGGTATGCATTTAAAACTACATGTATCCCAAAATGCTGTAGATTTATGAGAGATTTAAAGAAATTTCAGTATTAACTTTCTTTCTTTTTTTTTTTTTTCTTTTTGAGACAGGGTCTCACTCTGTCATCCAGGCTGGAGTGCAGTGGCACAATCACAGCTCACTGCAGTCTCGACTTCCAGGGCTCAAGTGCTCCTCCCACCTCAGCCTACCAAGTAGCTGGGACTACAGGCACATGCCATCGTCTCTAGCTAGTTTTTGTATTTTTTGTAGAGACAGGGTTTTGCCATGTTGCTAAGGCTGGTCTCAACTCCTGTGCTCAAGTGATCCGCCTGCCTCGGCCTGATCACAGGTATGAGCTACCATGTCCAGTCCCGCAAGCTCTTTCTTATCTAAATGTTACTTTATATTCCATATACAATATATTCTTCTTAAAAAAAAAAGTAAACGTATTGCAATCATTTTAACACTCTGAACCAGCTGATGGCCAAGGGCAAGGGTTTACTCTCTCCATCCCAAATCCAGCAGGGGGCGTAATGGAAATAAGGTAATTAATTTTATATTTTTCCTTCTGCTCTGTGCATTAACTCTGTTTCCCGAAGTTCTTCTTCTTCTTTTTTTTTTTAAATAAGCTTGTTATTTTAGAATAGCTTTAACCTTACAGAAAAATTACAAAGGTAGTACACCCCTCACCCAGTTTCTCCTAGTATTAACAGCTTGCATTAGGATGGCACCTTTGTCACAGGGAACTGCCAATATTGCCAAGCTCTTTTTACTCTGTTTGGAATTGATCTTTCATGCCAGCGGCTTTCCTCAATTCTGTGGTGACTCTCAATGGCCATTTATGTTTAACAGCTAGGACAGTCTAGATATATAAAGAAAATGGATTTTTGATGAGCTTAAATACACTCTTTCTGGAGATGATCGTAAAGTCTGACACTACATTAACATCCACAGATTCAGTCTCTCTCCAGGGAAGTAGTCCACAGCAGGAAAAAGCTAAAATTTGAGAATGTTTAAAATTCTGCTTTTTTCCCAAATACACTAACTAGAAATTGATATCTAATACGATCAAGTAGAAATGATATCTAGGCCAAATGTGGTGGCTCATACCTTCAATCTCAGTGCTTTGTGAGGATGCTTGCCTCAGGACAGTTTGAGACCAGCCTCTTTGATAAGACCCTGTTTCTATAAAAAATAAAAAAATTAGCCAGGCATGGGGGTACACACACATCTAGTCCCAGCTACTGGGGAGGCTGAGGCAGGAGAATCACTTGAACCTGGGAGGTGGAGGTTGCAGTGAGCTGAGATCGTGCCTCTCCCTGGGTTCAGGTGATCCTCCCACCTCAGCTGGGATTACAGGTGTGTGTCACCACGCCTGGTTAACCTTTTGTATTTTTTGGAGAGGTAGGGTTTTGCCATGTTGCCCAGACTGTTCTCAAATTCCTGGGCTCAAGCGATCCTCCAGCCTCAGCCTCCCAAAGTGTTGGGATTACAGGTGTGAGCCACCACGTCTGGCTGGACAGACTTTTCACCTATTTCTTAAAACCATTCTTCTAGTCTGAAAGACTATCTGTATAACAAGAAAAGTTTTGCTCACCATGTACTTACTTTACCCTCACCTTTCAATGACTTTGGTCACCACCACTATAATTTCTTTCTGTGGCTCAGAGTCCTCTTTAAGCTTCAGCCATTTGGCTCTTCGAGTTTCATACTTTGTTTGGCTCTTGTTAGCTTGCAAGTTAATAAATCGATATGCCTTTTCTCCTATTAATCTCTCCATGGCCAGTTTGTTTTATAGATTCAAACCATCAAAACTTCTGAGGGTATAAACTTCCTTCTGCCCTTACAGAAGCAACTCGGTGTCTTATAATTCATTTCAATTCTATCTACCTGGTGATAGTGTCAGATCCCACAGATGAGGGCTCAGCCCTAAAAGCCTGCCCCCCACTTTAGGTACCAATCACAAGTCAAAGCCACCCATACTTCTTACTGACTGGTTTCCGAGGTTCCTGTGACCCCCTTTTAGGGTTCAAGTAACTTTTTAGAATGGCCCCGAGAACTCAGATAAACATGTTTACTGGTTCATTATAAATGCTATTATAAGGGATACAGATGAACAGCCAGATGAAGAGGTACAAAGGGCAAGGTTGGGGGCAGGGCACAGAGCTTCCATGCTCTCTCTAGGTGAGCCAACCTCCAGCACTTACCTGTGTTCAACTCTAGGGAATCTCTTCAAGTCTTTTTGTTCGAGACTACTTAGAGAGCTTGATCTTCGGCCCCCTCCTTCCCTTCACAGAGGTCAGTTGGTAGAACTCAATGTTCTAACCCTCTAATCCTCCGATCACTTGGTCTTTCTGGTGATTAACCCCATGCTGAGGCCATGTAGGGCCCCCATCCTAAATCACCTCATTAGCATAAACCAGGAGTTTAGGGGCTCACTATGAACACGGAAAGACATTTCTGTCACTCAGGAAATTTCAAGGATTTTAAGAGCTCTATGACAGACAGAACCATCATAGAAACTGGGGACAAAGGCCAAATATATTTTATATTATACCACTGGGATAAGAGTCATAAGGTCTGATATCAGGAGGTAAAGGGAAAGGCCTTGAACCATTGAAAGACTTTGGTTTTTACTCCCAGAGAAACTGGGAGGCAGTGAAGGGTTCTGAGGGGAAAATCAGTTAGTCTGGCTTTTTTCTGGCTACTGTGTCAAGAGTAAATAGGAGGACAAGGTGGAAGCAAGTGATAGTAGTAAGCATCAGGCTGGAAGCAGTGAAAGTGGTAATAAGTTTTTGGACTCTGGACAGATTTGAAGGCGGAACCAACATAACTTGCTAAGAACATGGATAAAAACCACTGGCATTTAAGCATTAGAGCTCTAAAAAACCAAACCAAACCAAATAAACCACTGGGGAAAAGTTGGCTGATAAAGCTATACATATAATTCCTGCATTTCTGACTCCATGGCTCTACAGAAAGCACTGGGTTTGTTAAAAGTTGACTTGTCAAGATGTATTACAATGCTAGTTTCAAGATAGAATTACAAAAGTGTCAAGATGTATTACATGTATTACAATGTTAATTTCAAGATAGAATTACAAGAATTTTAAGATGTATTACAATGTTAAGCTCAAGATAGAAAATATATTGTAAAATATAGAGCAGTATTAATGTCCTCTGAGCAATGCTTAACAGTATATAGCAGCCTTTGCCCTCATATTTCTGCTCCAGGTTGTTGGAAATATGTCAAGACCATGAAGCAATCACCACAAAGATTCTGAGAAACTCATTAGTTGTTCCAATGGCAGCCAAAGAAAAATCAAACAATAATTTCCGACTGGATTGTAAGGATTCCTAGAACCAATTTAAATATCCATTACAGCATAATGTGGACAGAAAAAGGCATATTAAGTTGTCAATATCTTTTGATTAGTACTGTATCTTATTTTAGAGAGCCTCATTTGTCCTCAAGATGAATCTTAAAGGCAAGCAACTATTAGAATAAGAGAAGCTGGGCTTTTGGAAGGATGTTGAAGAAAATGCAAATTTAAAATGTTTCATTTTTTTAATTTATTTTTGAGAGAGACAGGGTACTTCCCTGTTGCCTAGGCTGAAGTGTGATGGTGCCATCAGCTCACTGCAGCCTCCAATTCCTGGGCTTAAGGTATCCTCCTACCTCAGCCACCAGGATTGCTGGGACTACAAGCATGAACAAAAGTACCCAGCAAAAATATTTTAAATCCGGCCAGGCATGGTGGCTCATGCCTGTAATCCCAGCACTTTGGGTGGGCGAGGCAGGGGGATCACCTGAGGTCAGGAGTTTGAGACCAGGCTGGCAAACATGGTGAAATCCCGTCTCTACTAAAAACACAAAAATTAGCTGGGTGTGGTGGTACACACCTGTAATCCCAGCTACTCGGGAGGCTGGGGCAATAGAATTGCTTGAACCTGGGAGGTGGAGGTTGCAGTGAGCTGAGATGGTACCACTGTGCTCCAGCCTGGGCAACAAAGTGAGACTCCGTCTCAAAAAAAATTTTTTTTTAATCCTTAAAAAGATGTATCCTCTGCTGCTACTCTAGAACTCCAGGTGGAGGCAGATTTCTAAACCATTTCTTCTGTACAGGAATCACTGGCTTGGGTGGGGTGTGGTGACACTGCTGTCTCAGAATGAATGTAATCATGTATCACCACACTCCCTTTTGGACTATATTTTCAAGGCCACTGTCTGCCTGTAGAAGAGAGTATTAGTTTGATGCTCATGTGTTTTCAGAATCAAAATATCTAAGTAAGGAATTCGATGAAAGTTGTAGAGATGTGTTTTACATCAATTTTGTGATGTGGTATAGCCACATGGTTAATAATAACAGCCTCATATTCAGGGTTTGGATTGCGGCAGTGCCATTTGCTTCACTCCAAGTGCTAAATAAATCTCCTCATCTTTAAAATTGGGATAACGATGCAGTCTTTCTGAAATTGTGAGGATTATAGGAGTTAAGGCTGGGTATGGTGGATCATCCCTGTAATCCCATCACTTTAGGAGGCCGAGGTGGGAGGATGGCTTGTGTCCAGGAGTTGGAGAGTAGCCTGGGCAACATAGGAGACCCCCGTCTCTACAAAAATAAAAAAAATAAATAAAACAAAGGAGTTAATATTAGAAAAGCCTTCAAAAGTTACTAGCATAGCCAGTACTTTGTGTATTATTTTAAGACCACTGCCGCATAGCACCTGATAGCTTTCAATTTACATGCTTTAAAAAAGCAGAGAAATCGAAACTGTCACATTTTCCCAACGCTCCCTAATTTCACTAGTTGCTTGACGCTTTTCAAAGCATTTAGAACATTGCAAATAGGAAGGTCACAAAGAAAGAAAAAAAAGGAACCCGAGTTCGAAGTGTGGCTTCTTCAGTTCAAAAGTTCTAGTTTAACGGTCCCTGGTCATCCCTTGCCATTACACATACTCTTCGAAACGCACTATTTTTTTTTTTTTTTAAGTAAAAGTTATCCCTAAACAACGTAAGAAAAAAGCAGACCATTTTCCTTGACCACTTTGAGATCTGGGTGAGCAGTGGATGTTTAAATGCTGGCATTTCAACAAGGCCGGCAATTAAGAATTCACGAAAATAATCACGCCGAATTATTAGAAAAACACCAACAGCGCTATGAGGCCTCCGAGCCTTCGCTCCCCCTGGAAGCAACCGGGTAGCACAAAGGGGCAAAGCTCAGGCTGCGAGCACTGGGAATTCGGCTGTGCCCTCCCGCCGGCTCCGCGTCCCTCTCCCGGCGCAGAAGTCTCAGCTCCCGCGCCTCTCCCGAGCATTCAGGGCCCAGAGCAGAGAGAGCAACCTGAGGCGCGTCGAAGCCGGGAGAGAGAAGGGGCTGGTGTTGCTCGCGGCAGTAGTTGGGGCCTGGTCCCCGGCGCGCGCCGGAAAAACCGGCGAATCGACTATCCCGCAAGCAGCCAGTAATCCGCCGGCGCCGAGAGGCGCGCCCCAGGGCCAGACCAGACGCCCGACACTGAGAGGGAGGGTGCTGGGACGCGGACCAGGCGGGGCCAGGCTGGGCTAGGCGGGGCAAGGCGCGCAGGGCGGGCCCGAAGCGTGGGTGGGGCACCGCGGGGCGGGGCGGGGCGCGGCGGACGGCCCTCCCGGCGCGGCGAGCGTTTCCGGTGTGCGCGGCGGAGCGCTAGGGCCGGGGCACAGTCGGCTCCCAATCGCGCACAATGAGACAGCGCTGAGCGCCGGAAGTGGGGCCGAAGGAAAACACGGAGAGGGAGCCCGGCCAGGACAGGAAGAGGCTGGGGACCGCGGCGAAGGTGGTGAGTGCTCTTGGGCGCCTTCTCCTCACGTCCCTGCCAGACTCGCCTCCGCGCTGATTCTCCAGTGGGTTTCCTAGACTCCACAGTAGCGGTCCGGCCTGGCTCCGGAGGTACGTTGGTTCCATCCCCCGCCGGCCTCCTCGCACCAGTTTAGGTGACCGAGGAACCCCCAGGCCGGCAGAGACTGAGCTCTCGGTTCGAGTCCGTGTTTTCACTTTTTGTCACACTCTGAGGGCGCAGAAGATGGGATTTGGGTCAAGGCATTCGCCTCTGGCCCCCTGGCCAGCCGGGGGAACCCGGGATCCCCATGGAGGCAGCAGGTCACTTCCTGCTTCCTGGTCCCCACGGTGGCTTCTTGGCCAGGAGTGCAGGGACGCCTCCTCTTTCTCCGCGTCGGGCTCAGAAAGGTGGAAACTGAGGCAGATCGGTGGTGGAGCCTTCAGATGAGGATTGAAGAGGAGTGTCATTCCTCAGGGAATTGCTGTTCCTGACAAAACCAGACTTGTTTGTGGTTGGAGAACGGGGATTGAGGAGGTTAGCTGGAGTTGTCCCTTGATCGGAAACCCAGCCCCTTTGATTACAACTACACCTTGGTCTGGAGCCCAACCCCTCCGTAACCTAAGCGCTCAAAGCCGGTCTGTCCAGAATAGTGGTGGTGAAGGGACGGAAAATTGGAGTTGAGAGATGTAGTACTGCGTTCACGTAAAGTTTCGGTGTATAACACTTACAAATAATTGCCCACTTAAAAAAAAAAGACTGTTTCGGGAGTTTAGTAATATATTGGCTTGGGATGAGGTTTTCTTTGAAGAGAAACGCATTGTTACATAGGGAAAAGCCAACCAAACGTTATGAGTAATATTCTACTGTGTTACAGTTCTCGAATCTATAGACCTCTTATTCACAGATTTATTCTTCATGCCAAATAGTATTGATTTTCGTGAAGAATATTAGAGGACCAAGGCTCTCAACCTCTAGGGTAATACACTGATTATAAAGGATGTGATAGAATTTTTATTTAAAAAAAAATAGGGAAAGTTTCTTTCTTACAGGCTTTTGGGTATCTGCACGATAAACGTGTTGTTTTGTATACTTGTGTGATATCTTGTTATATAGTTTGATATTTCCCCAAAATGCCTTCTTTCAGGTGCAAAGTAAGAAAATTGAAGTCAGACCATGGGAGATACAGCAAAACCTTATTTCGTGAAGCGCACTAAAGACCGAGGGACTATAGATGATGATGATTTCAGAAGGGGTCACCCCCAACAAGATTATTTAATAATGGATGACTATGCTAAAGGCCATGGCAGTAAAATGGAAAAGGGCCTTCAAAAAAAAAAGATAACACCAGTGAACTATGGGAATACCCCCAGAAAAGGACCATGTGCTGTTTCCAACAATCCATATGCATTTAAAAACCCAATCTACAGTCAACCCGCTTGGATAAATGACAACCACAAAGATCAGAGTAAGAGATGGCTGTCTGATGAACGTACTGGTAATTCAGACAACTGGAGAGAATTCAAACCTGGACCTAGAATTCCTGTTATAAACCGACCAAGAAAAGACTCCTTTCAAGAAAATGAAGATGGTTATAGGTGGCAAGACACAAGAGGCTGCAGAACTGTAAGACGACTGTTTCATAAAGACCTAACAAGCCTAGAAACCACGTCAGAAATGGAAGCAGGAAGTCCTGGTAATGTTTTCCAACTTGTCAGCGATGTCTTATTCTTTTTCATCCAAATGAGTTTTGTTATTTTCAGCAATTTAGTTCCAGTTTTTCATAGTTTCTGTTATAAGATGTGGTTACTTATTGTGATTATTTTAAGGACTGTAATCATATTTGGGCAGCTTCAACACATTTCACATACTGATCCCTTTAAAAGTTTATTTTGTCCCAAGGCTCATTTTACTTTAGTAAACATGTTTTCTGTAACATGTTTTTTACAGAAGAGGGTAGTTATATGCCTCAAGGGACCATATCATAATTGCTCAGTGGTGTGTATATTTTAAAAATTATTATTATACTTTTGCATTTGAATAATGAATGTGTTCATAATATAAATGACAGAATATAAACATTTTTTTAAAAAAAACTTAATCTGTTGATGTAAAAACACAATATAGATGCCGTTTCTCTCCTGCAACAAGAGATATATCTTTTGGGTATAGTGTCAGTGTCCTGAGAAGGGTAATCTAAGATTTTTGTTTTTCAAAAGGGATCATGACAGGTTGAGAAACAAGTTTAGAAAGTCAAATACAGATTCAAGCTTTGCTGTTTGGTTTCAATAAGATCAAAACTAATTTCGAAGTGCCTTCACATTCTTGGTTAATTGCCCCAAAGGGATAATAAGGAAATAATATGTTTTCCTAAAAGTAAAAGGTAGATTTAGTTCATGTGGCAGTGATTTCTACAAATAGGAAGGTTATTTTTATCTAATGGGCAATATTTACTGAAATGAAGTGAAGACATAAATTGAATGGAAAGAATGAAACAATAGTATCATGTAGTTGGAAACATGGACTTTGTAAGTTTATTGGCTGAAAGCTTCTTAGTGGTCACATAGAATGTGTTGCAAACTGGCCAGCACTTTTAAATAAATTTTTTGAGTTTAAATGCATTGTTAATGTGGCCACTTTCTAGATCGCCCCATGCCTTTTCCCTTCATGTTACCTCACAGTAGCCAGTTCATACACAGGTTACCTATAAGGTGTTTGAATTTGTGTCCCATGCATATAGAATACTTAAAAGCGAAAAGGTCGTCTCTTATCTTTACAAGGTCTTAGGATAAAAATAAAAGTCTCAAGCATTTGTTAATATTAAATGAGGGGAAATGGGCTTTTCAGAGATACTTCTAGTTGTCAGATCTATTTATTTATTTCTATTTTATTTTTTGAGACAGTCTCACTCTTGTTATCCAGGCTGGAGTACAGTGGTGCAATCTTGGCTCACTTCAACCTCTGCCTCCCAGGTTCAAGCAGTTCTCCTGCCTCAGTCTCCTGGATAGCTGGGACTACAGACACACACCACCAAACCAGCTAATTTTTGTATTTTTAGTAGAGATGGGATTTTAGCATTTTGGCCAGGCTGGTCTTGATCTCCTGACCTCGTGATCTGCCTGCCTCAGCCTCTTAAAGTGCTGGGATTACAGGCATGAGCCATCGCGCTTGGCCAAAAAGCATTTTAAAAAGAACGTTTATAGATCAAAAATTTGCAACCAGTTGCTGACTAGAAAACTTTTGTATGTATTTTTAGCTTATATGTGTTCTTATAAAAGCAACTTTAAGTTGCTTTTAAGTGTATTTGAAAAGGAAATGCATTTTGCTATCTTTTTATTGGAGGTAATTCAAAAGCTTGCGTGTTGTCCCTGTATGACATACAGGTATATGCTTTCACAGTTATTAAGTAAAGGCTTCATATTGGAAGTATTAAGATTTGGTTTAACGCTTACTTAGAGAATATTCAACTGAAAGTATAAAGTAAAAAAGGATCTCATTAAAGAGATTGAAATTTATTTATCAAAATTGTGCCTTAATAAGAAAGGGTCTGCTGGGCGCGGTAGCCCACACCTGTAATACCAGCACTTTGGGAGGCCGAGTTGGGCAGATCATGAGCTCAAGAGATCGAGACCAACCTGGCCAATATGGTGAAACCCTGTCTCTACTAAAAATACAAAAATTAGCCAGGTATGGTAGCACACATCTGTAGTCCCAGCTCCTCAAGAGGCTGAGGCAGGAGAATCGCTTGAACCCGGGAGGCGGAGGTTGCAGTCAGCCGAGATCGTGCCATGTACTCCAACCTGGTGACAGAGTGAGACTCCATCTCAAAAAAAAAAATAAATAAATAATAAGGCAGGGTATTATTCAACAATGTAAGAAGATATAATGGAAATTATGTTAGAGTTGCTTTGTGTGCCCCAAATATAGTACTACCTTCTTTTTTTAGCTCTACATTACTGCCCCTACCTTATCCCTCAAATGTCCTAGGTTGCCAATTTAATGTATTTGGGACATTGACATTAATGATCTTAGCTGGAAAGCATCCACTCAAATATACATGTCCTTTGTAAACCATATGCAAATAAAATATGCGAAACTTGGAATGCCGAATATAGAGAACTGTTATTACAATAAATCCGAGGTGAGCCAGGTAGTCTTCCTCTAACTAATTATGAGAATTTCTCATCAGTACCTAGCTTTACCCTCCAAGAGTCCCTCCAGTGAGAGTTTTTGACAGTTTTTACCGTTCATTCCTGGGAAACTCAGTTTAGAAGGTTGATAGTCCACTGTAGATGTGAATGGGTATGTTCCAAGAAGGGCTTTTAGTAATTTCTTTCCAGTTTTTATGTTGTTAGATAAAAGGCTGAATTTCAGGATTCTATCCTTTGTTTGTTTGTTTGTTTTTTAGACAGTTTCATTCTGTCACTGAGGCAGGAGTGTGATGGTGAAATCATGGCTTGCTGCAGCCTCACCTCCGGGGCTTAACCAATGCTCCCACCTCAGCCTCCGGAGTAGCTGGAACCATAGGAGCATGTCATCTTGCCTGGCTAATTGTTTTCATTTGTGCTAGAGATGACATGTCACTATGTTGCCCAGGCTGGTCTTGAACTCCTGAGCTCAAGCAATCTTCCCACCTCAGTCTCCCAAAATGCTGGGGATCACAGCCATGACCCCCTGCACCTGGCCCCATCCATATTTTAATCTATATTTTTGATCCCTTTACTTTGATTTAGCCATCTGGTTTTGGAGAAGTTGTTCTCTTAGATTAGCATTGTCCCCATCTGTACAATGGGGACGATATTAGTATTAGCAGGATTGCTGTAGGGATTAAATTGAGGCAGTACATATAAAGTGCTTGTGCTTTAAATCTATTGCATAATAAGAGACACCATCTTGGTAGCTGCCGTTATCTGACAGAATTTCTGCAGCCATCCACTTCTGTATAAAAGCGATAGAAATTAGTTACTTGTGGTCTTTGGAGGAAGAGAGAAGTTACTCTTTCTAGAAAGTGACAGCAAGTACAGTAATATGGAGAAGGCTTTGTGACCAGAAGAGAGGAAGGGTTTAAAAACAAATTCAGTTCCCTATGAGTTACTGGCTTGCAAACTAATAGGGGTTTTTCTAAGGGTGTTGCAATATTATTCTAAATTTGTAATGAGTTTTTGCCTAAGAAACCTGTAATAATAAAGCCAGATGTAATTTTTTTGATAACATTTCTACTGCTAAGCAAACTAAATGAGAGTGGACAAGTCTCTAAGTAAAAGAAGTGCTTATCTGAATTAAAAAAAATTATTCAGACCAAGAATACTGGCCTTAAAAGATTATGATAAATTTAATTGGGAGTAGGGGAAGTGTTAAAAAAGGAAGTATTAAGGTAGCCCAGGGTAGCCTGATTTTCTGTTCAAATGACAACTTAACCTTTTAGTATTTATTTGTTCAGTGGCTTTTGATTGGTTTTTTAAAACTACTTTTCTAACACTTTAATTTTTTTTAAATTTTCTCATATTATGGAAGTTGTTTGCAGAATATCATGGTAGTCATCTCAGGTAGTTTTAGTGCAGTGCTTGCTGGCTATCCTTTGGAGCTCTCAGCAAGCTTTTTATAAAATCTGATGTCTTATATTTCCTTTTTGGACAGATTTTTTTTCAGCCAGCCAGCTCATTGTAATTGCCGTACTAGTAATAATGAGTTCCTCTGAAAACTTGATGGAGGAATTGTCTCATGTAGGACATTTCAGTAGGTTTATATTTCCAAGCACTAATGTGTTACTAATTAATAGTTTTGTATTTCAAAACTCAAAAGAAGTTATCAAAGCTATATAAAACAATTTTTTATAGTTTAATCCCGCAATCACTTTAAAGTTGAGCAGTTGTAAGTTTTAAAAAGGAAGAGAATTATTCATTATAAGGATTGTAGAACTAATAGCAGGGTTTATAAACAAATGTACTTAGAGAAAACTTTTGTTTCAATTGCCAGTTGTTTTTTTCCTTTGAAATATGCTCAGTATACAGGCCATTCAAAGAAGCTAAAATGAAAGTAAAGATAAAATGAGAGATAGTTGTCCTTAGTAAATAAAATTTTGGCTTCAACTTCTTCATATTAATGGAGGGACCCAGCTTACCTGTTGTTCAAGGCTAAATTTGCAACTAAATGATTGATTTTTCACTCCACGTGAGGATGTAGTTAATTTCTGAGTTGTCCAGGGGTACATTGTCCATTTTGCCTTATTGAGATTGTTCACTTACAGAAAATGAAAGCAAATGTGGATGGTTTTAATTAGAATAACAGGTGTACTTTCAGGTATTATTAGAATATATTAGATATATTTACAGTATGTATTGTAATACATTACATGTAATAGAATTATAGATATACTTGCCTTCAGAGTATAATTGTTCTGTTGTTTGAGTATGCTCAACAGTATACCAGGAAGAGATAATAAAAATAAATTATATGATGGAAGTAGAATTCTTTTAAGTTTTCCAAAATGATGATTTCTATGGATTAACATCTGCAGGTGATGTGCTCACTGACTACAGTATTCAAGCATTTTGTACATGGGACAGCTACCTTTCCCTCTGCTCTGCATTCATATGTGATTTATTCTCCCACGTGACTTAATATATATGTGAGGTCTGCTTTTTACTCAGCAGTAGCATTATTCAATATTGCCAATAATGTTTTTCTCCCAACTTAAGAAAACAAGAAGCAGAGGTCCAGACCTAGGAAGCCACGGAAGACTAGAAATGAGGAAAATGAGCAGGATGGAGACTTGGAGGGCCCTGTGATCGACGAGTCTGTGCTTTCAACGAAGGAGCTGCTGGGCTTACAGCAGGCTGAGGAGAGACTGAAAAGAGACTGCATTGACAGGCTAAAAAGGGTAACATCCAAATATATTTGTTGGTTAGAATCCTGGTTTTGGCCTAAACTTTGTTAGTAATTGAATATATGTGCTCTGATCAGCTAGAAACCCTACTCTGGTTATTGGTATTTAAGCACTACAAGTTAAAACTGGTATCCAGTGTGATTTAATAGGATTAGGAGTCATTGCTACTATACTTAAAATGACTGTTAGGGTTGTGATAAAGGGAACAATAACAGTAGCAATTTTTAAAAAAAAGAAGAAGCCAGGCACAGTGGTGTTCCTATAGCCCCAGTCACTTGTGAGGTTTGAGGCAAGAGGATTGCTTAAGCTTGGGAGTTTGGGACTATAGTATGCTATAATGGCATCTGTGAGTAGCCAGTGCACTTCAGCCTGGGCAACATAGTGAGACCCCTGTCTCTTTAGAGAAAATAAATTGAAGGAGAAATTATTTCCTGGCTGATTTTGTTTATCTGAATGTTTGGTTATACATATATCTCTCTCTAAATAAATCTCTTCAAATTATAGCGACCACGAAACTACCCTACAGCAAAGTACACCTGCAAACTCTGTGATGTTTTAATTGAATCCATTGCATTTGCCCATAAGCATATCAAGGAGAAGAGGCACAAGAAAAACATTAAGGTAAGTTGAATGTAACCCAAACAAGTCTGCTTACCTGTCAGTTGTTATTACTTGTCATCTTTGTGGCTTTCTTTTCCTTAAGGCTATGCTATTGATAACCTTACTGCTTTATTTATTGAATAATTTGAGCCAAAATACATAATATATTAGGTCAGATGTGTTTTACTGGTTAGTCTTGTGAATTTTCTTAAGGGCAGCATCAGGATACGTGAAGTCATCGATTGGACCTAGGTATATGTCTTTACTAGTATTAACGCAAACGTTGTAAGTGCTGTTTTTAATATTCTTTCCTTATAGTTTCTCCTTATGCCTGCTTATCCTGTTATCACTGATTCATATTGTGTGCATAAGGAAATATGTTTGATAGGATGAAGAGTAACAGAGCTAAGATGAGAAGGGAGGGCTAAGAAAAAGAAAACTCTATAGGGCCTTACTGTCTTCGTAAATGGTAGAAGGTTAAAAACTATGTGTAAGTCATTTTTAATCTCAACATTTGATCTTAAAAGGAGAAGCAAGAGGAAGAGTTGCTCACTACGTTACCCCCACCAACACCCTCCCAGATAAATGCAGTTGGCATTGCCATTGACAAAGTAGTACAGGAATTTGGCTTACACAATGAGAACTTGGAACAGAGGCTAGAAATCAAACGTATCATGGAAAATGTGTTTCAACACAAGTTACCAGGTATTTTCTAGATTTGTTTTTTTCTGTTTAACTACTTAAAAGTACCTCATTCATTTCTCCCATCAGTAGTAATTTTCACCAAATAATTTGCCATGTCATGAAGCTCTTCTGTTTTCTGGTTTTTTTGGTTTGTTTTCCCTGGCTTTTCCCAAGGAAACAAGGACTTTCACATACATTGCCGTTGTAAACCTGTTTCTATTATAAATTTTACCGTGTGTGTGAACGTTAAGTTGAATGCCCTGTATTGTTGGGGCACTATGGGACTCTTCTGTATATATTTGTTTGCCTTTCTACTCATCTAAATTGACACTATATTTTGAGTTAAAATTAAGAGAAGTATCCTAAAGTTATTTTCAGGTTATTCATGTCAAAAAAAATTCTTTTTAACTTTATTTAAAAAATTGCAACATCTAAAATGAACTTTCAAAACTAGTTTTAAGAAATTTGTAATGGATTTTGTGTACTGTTGAATTGATTTTCCAAGTTATGTCTGTCTTCTGCCTATTTTTAACTTTAGATCCTTGGCATGATGGGGAGGGGGGACAACTATTTGGAGTGTATTACTATGAAAATTTAAAGCCAGGTATGGTCAGTGCCTGACACAACTGCTGTCAATCCTTGATAGCAACAAACCCCACCCCAAGTAATCCCCGAACCCCTACTGGCCATTCCTGTTTAGGTAAATGGTTGGAATAGCTTAGTCATTCTCAATCCTTGCTGTGCATCAGAATTATGTGTGAAGCCACAGACAACTATTTTTACAAAGCTCAAGTGATTCTGATCCACAGCTAGGGTTGGAATCATTATTTGTATTTGTCACCTTATAAACCTTAAAACTGTTTGCTCTACTGAAAGAGCATACATATAGTATTTGTAATATATGTATTTTCATAAGAATAAGGGAAAATACTCTACTCATTTTATTATATAAGTATCTCATGAAAAGTCAATTGTAACTTTGATGATTTTTGCTTTAGAGTTTCAAGTAAAAATGAATGTACTTTGTTGTGGAAAACTGCTAAAACCCAAGGGAATCACTTGAATTTTAGCGAACCTTAAACAAAATAGCCACCCTCTGATGAGAAAGGATACTATTTTGACATTGTAGTAAAACATTGAAAATAAATGCCATAAATATAGATAGTACACATAAATGCACATCTTCCTCTGAAGAGTGAAGTGTCTGCTGCCTAGCATTTTAAATTCTATCAGTGATGTTGTAATTATTCTTCAAAAGTATATCTATAGGGATTATGTTATAACAAATGCTTTTTGTTCATAATGTAATGAAAAATTCATATTAAATATGCCAAAAGATTATTTTATTATTGTTTGACCAAAACCTCTTTATAGCAAATTATACCTATGTGTGCATTCTAAAGGGGGAAATGAAATGTTTCGTTAGCTCTTCAATATACTACCAGGTTTGTAATCTAAAACAAAGGCATCCTTTTTCAACTGGCACATTTAAAAAATTTCAAATAGTATTTTCTTCATAAAATGTGAACATGATAATGTAGCAGTTTGACATTTTACAACTGACGTGAAGAATGGCTGTTAAGCTAAATCATAGCTGATGCAGCCTTCCCTGATAAATTAAGTGAAGAGCAAAGAGCCACCTATTCCCGTCTTTTGTTTATGCCAGTCTTGAATACAAGTTTGCTTTTGTGTGTAATTTTAACTAATGGTTCTGTTTCTAAAATAGCTGGGTGTTGTTATAACTTTTGAGAAATTCTACTACATTTATGACTTTCATTTATGTTTTAGATTGTTCTCTAAGATTATATGGGTCATCCTGTAGCAGATTGGGTTTCAAAAATTCAGATGTGAACATTGACATCCAATTTCCAGCCATTGTAAGTACAAAATGAAATGGTGGCATTTTCAGAGTGGCATTGAAATTCTTTCTTACAAATGTAAACTGTCTATGAATGTATATATGTATATATATATATATATATATATTTTTTTTTTTTTTTTTTTTTTTTGAGATGGAATTTCACTCTTGTTACCCAGGCTGGAGTGCAATGGCGCGATCTCGGCTCACCGCAACCTCCGCCTCCTGGGTTCAGGCACTTCTCCTACCCTCAGCCTCCTGAGTAGCTGGGATTACAGGCATGCACCACCATGCCCAGCTAATTTTTGTATTTTTAGTAGAGACAGGGTTTCACCATGTTGACCAGGATGGTCTTGATGTCTTGACCTCGTTATCCACCCTCCTCGGCCTCCCAAAGTGCTGGGATTACAGGCTTGAGCCACCGCGCCCAACCCGTCTATGAATATATTTTAGGTATTTGAAGATATTTTAAGTGTAGTGACAGCATCTACTTGCCTTCAGTTTCAGAGCTTTTTTTTTTAAATACTCTGCAAATTTTTATACTTATTTTACTCTATAGATCTTTCGTACTTCCAACACTGGTTTTTCAACCATGTGCACCTAATGGGGATATTTAGGTTCTGTTACTTTTACTTTTTTCTGTTACAATAAATTTTCTTGATAAAATCAACTTTCCAATGGCAGGAAGGGAATTCAGATTTTAAGCAGTGTAGATATTTAAAGATTTATGATCTGAAAGCTTAATTATCTCTGGAATTTCCTCTTTTTGTATACCTATTTTGTTAAAGTAATTACACTTTTAAAGAATCACACTTATCTTGGATTTCTGGTTTAAACATGATTGAAAAGTTTGTTTATGAGTTAGAATTTTAAAACTGAAATTTAGCTGGGCATGTGGTACAGTCCTGCAGTCCCAGCTACTCTGGAGGCTGAGGCGGGAGGATCATGAGCCCAGAGTTTAAACCTGTAGTGAGCTGTGACTGCACTTGAGAATTGCCACTGCATTCCAGCCTGGGTAACATAGTGAGACCCTATCTCTTAAAACAAACAAACAAACAAACAAACAAAAAACCTGAAGGACACTTTAGTAAATTATCCATTTCTCTACCAGTAGTTCCCACAGGCTTGTTTATAGATGGTCTGTTTGTAGTTACTTGGGTTGCTTGTTAAAAATCCGGATTGTGAACTGGGCGCAGTGGTTTAACCCTCTAAACCCAGCTACTCTGGAGGCTGAGGGTCAGAGGATTACTTGACGCCAGGAGTTAATGACCAACCTGGCCAGCCCCATCTGTCTCAAAAAAAAAAAAAATCTGGATTCTGGGGCCCTAGAGGTTCTATTTCGTAACCTTTCTCTTCTTGCTATACCTGACTGCTGTAGCTACCTGGTAAGCTACCCAGTAGATCTTACTATTTTTTACAACTTGCTATACCTGACTGCTATAGCTACCTGGTAAGCTACCCAATAGATCTTACTGTTTTTTAACCTTAAATTCTGATCAGTGATTTACCAGCCATAGCAGTTATTTGATCTGGTGTCATTAATTCATTTAGCAAATATTCACTAATCCCATTTGTGTGGCAGACATACCGAGTTATAAAGGACAAAACAAAGATGGTTCCTCTTTATGGAACTCATGTAATAAAGGAGATAAGTAATTACCTCGTAATTATAGTGAGAGCTGTGCAGGTAAACAAGGTTCAGGGATAGAAAAAGGACAAGGGCTGGGCAGAGATACAGCAGTCATGAAGGCCTCTTTGAAGAGGGAACATTTAAGCTGAGTTCTAAAAGTTGAAAAGGAGTCTGTGGGAGAGGGGAAAACGCTAGGGGTGGGGAGGAAAAGAGTTTCAGGCAATGTGAGCAGCATTTGCAAATACCCTGAATCAATAAATAGCTTGGCATATTCAAGGAGCTAAAAGAAAGGTTGTATAAGTGAGGTAAAGGGACCGAGAAAAAGAAGAGTATGAGAATTAGGATGGAGAGGTAGGCTGCGCTGGACCTGCAGAATAGTGTAGGCGGTGATAAAGAATTTGGTTTTGACCTAAGGGTAGTAAGAAGTCATTGAGAGTTGTAAGGATACAGTTTATGATTTTAAATGGTTCTGGTTCCAGTGCGAAACAAGGATTTTAAAAAGAAAGGCGAGACTAACTCCAGGACCAGTAAGCTGTCTCTTGCAGTGGTAATATTGTTGTGAGAGGTAATATTGTTAGCAGTTTGACAGATTTCCAGCTACCACTCTGAGACTTGCTGAGAGGCAGGTTACCTCAGTAGTTCATGAGATGTTAATGGTGTAGTATGTCTCTCTTGCCCACATTCATCCTCATTACCAAATGATCTGTCTTTGACTGACATATGTGCATAGCATAGTAAGTAATTTCTTTACTCTGGTAGCAATTTCTCATTTAGAAAGGAATTTGGGGAACTTCAGATGACTCTTTATATCAGTGAAGCAAAATCACTTAGGAATAATTTCATGTATTCATTGATTTATTTCCTAGATGTCTCAGCCAGATGTCCTCTTACTTGTTCAAGAATGTTTAAAGAACAGTGGTAAGGCTAAATTCCACATTTAAAAATTTTTATGTTGTCTAAATCTGGATATATCTTATTTCTCAAACTTTAAAAATAGCAAGGCATGTTTTCAAAATTATTTATATGGGTAATATTGAAAGCAAAAAACAAGGGAAATGCCCATGAATTATTAACTAGAGTACTGTTAGTAGTTCTGCTATGCAGAATAACCATTTCATAAGTAAAGCTTTTAGCTTGATGACATCATCACTATTTTTAAAGATTAAATGAGTCCTAGATGTGACTAAGAAATGCAAAATATATAAAATATACTCCGGAGGATAAAACTAAAGGATAATCTGCTTTTATCAATGGTTAAAATCAGTATTTTACCAACAGTGAATAGGTAGGTGTGACCCAACTCTGATTAATGAATCCGCAGAGTTGTGCCCATTTAGGTTTGTCAGTTGTCTAATATAATGTCCAGCTTGGGGCTGTATGGCTTTTTGTTTTTTACGTAGGCCTCAAGAAACTGTCATATCTTGGATTAGTCATCCCCATCCTCCTTGTTCTGGTTAAGTTTTTTCTTCAATCATACATATTTTGACACTGAACATTTTAGTACCTTTTGCAGCAATTTTGTTTTTAAACGTGTTATCTATAGTTCTAATTGTTATCCATGTAACATTTGAATTTTCTGATCCAATGATGTAGTCACTTCTCATGAGACATTCACTTTGCAAACTAAGAATTTTGTATTAATGTGATAACTTGATTTTTGAATATAATACTTATTTCTTTTCAAGTCATTTCAGAACTTTATTTGGTAGTGGTCTTTCAAAAGACTCAACAGCTAGGGTACAACTGGTACTTGTACTTTATCTGGTTCTGCTTTTAAACAAAGCTTTAATTAACCCACTTCATATTTTTTTTCTTCTTTCCTCAGACTCCTTTGTTGATGTTGATGCAGACTTCCATGCTAGGGTGCCAGTGGTGGTGTGCAGAGAAAAGCAAAGGTCTCATTTCTTTAAACTGTTTATTTATTAACTATCGATTTGCCAAAAGCACAAGCACTTTACTAAATCTTAATGTCCAATTTCTAGAATTATAAGCTTTTTATTTGGTTATCACATGTGGTTCCTACTAACATTCTCCCTTTACTTTTGGCATTTGATGTAAAAGGGGAAAATCTTATTTTAAAAATAATAAAATGACTTAAAAGAGAAAATACAGGAAGGAAACATTTCAGTCCATTTCAGCTTGTTAAAAAACAGGCCTATTAAATAGTTACCTGCTGTAATCACCTGTATTTGCCATCCTTTTTAGCAGCATTTATGGCAGTGCAGAGTTAACAGTGTGACCTTTCCAGTTTATCTCTCTCTACCTCCATGTGAAAGTATTACCATCACTACTGTAAATAGGTGATTTATAGGCTGTAATGATTCTTCATTAGGCAGATTCCTCCAACTCTTGGGAGAACACTCTTGTATTGTTACAGAGATGAATGATGCTCCCATTTGAAACGTTTTATAATGTTTTCTCCCCCCAAAATTTTAATATTTGAAACACACAAAAATTGTAATCCCGAAAAGTAACGTTTACTCAGAAATAGCTACAATATCTTTTTTGTAAAGAAAATTCAATTTCTTAAATGACCCATAAAGATGTAGTGAGTTTTTTTAACTTTTAAGCTTTTTTTATTTTTGAAGTATTTATTATCTGTGTATATTAGTTGTTGGCATAAAAGATAGTTTAAGACCTGTATAACACTTTTTTCTTTTTTTCTTTCCCATTCTTATCCTCTACCTCTCACCAGTGGTCTTCTTTGTAAAGTGAGCGCAGGAAATGAAAATGCTTGTTTAACAACAGAGCATTTAACTGCCCTTGGAAAACTAGAACCAAAGCTGATTCCTTTGGTGATTGCCTTTAGGTACTGGGCAAAGGTAAGCTTGAGTTCTTTAAATGCGTGAATACATTCTACATATGTATAAGCAGCATGCTTTGATTTTTACTTAATTTAATCTTCAATGTTTAAATGCATATTTATAGACATCAAAAGAGAAAGGCATCTAAATTTTCCAACAGAAACATGTACAGATGGAAGAGCCAGTGTTTCTATTTCATTTTAACAGTATTGCTCAAAAGATCAAAATGATTTATAGTGCTTATTAAGAATCAGATTTGTGGGTCAAATCTCAGAGGATAAGGCCCAGGAATTTACATTTTAACTAGTTTACCACAGTGGTTGTTAGGCCCAGGAAAGTTGAGATAAAGCTTCTCATATCATATCCAATAACATACACACAAACTGCAAAAAATAGAAGATACTTTTTGATCTTGTTTACATTTCCATAATGTTTTAAATATAATATTCCAATTAAAATACTCAAACAGTAGAACATTTAACATTCCCCCAAAATGTAAGGTTGAATCATGATTATAAAATTGAAATTCTGTGTATGTGCTTTTAGAGAAAAGCAAAAGCTTTACTGATTCAGGTATATCAATAACAATAGATAGTTCCTGTTTCTTGGATCCAGAATGAACAAAGGATGTCCCAGTCTTCACTAGGTAAATGATAATTGTAATATACTATCCTTTGAAAGCCACCTCCTGCTTCTTCACTAAGTAGAATGTGCCTTTTTAGCTGTTATTTCTATTAGTGATGATGAGTTTGTCCACATTCTCTTCCTGTATCAACCTTTGTGACCAAAGCATGCATAATCAAGGTTATGGGTTAGGGTAAGAGGACCATTGAACTGGCTTACATTTGCAACTGAATGATCATTTTTAATTCATTAACGTGTTCTAACTAAATGAATGAATTTACCATGGATATCAAAAAAATAAAATGGGAAATAATATTTTAGGACTGTCCATGAGTGCATGAGTGAGTATGGTTAATAGGATTAAATATTCAAAATTGAAACTATCACTTATACCACAATATGTGGTTGCTGCAAAAGGAAGTTTTATATATAAATAAGGAACTTGTATATTTTATAACTGCTATTTTCATCCCAAGAATTACCGTAAATCATGTAACAAGAATGAAGTCACAGGTTTTAGGCCAAATCGGGTAAATGACAAATTCATGCAAAAGAATGCTTAACCTTTTTTTCATCTTGTTTGTAGCTTTGCAGTATAGATCGCCCTGAAGAAGGAGGTCTGCCACCTTATGTGTTTGCCCTTATGACCATTTTCTTTCTTCAGCAGAGGAAAGAACCCGTTTTGCCTGTTTATCTAGGATCATGGGTATGAAACTTTTTTTGCATATATCTGAACTGATTGGACTACCGGTTTTGCATAATTTCAAAATCTAGACACCTAACCAGAACTGACATGGTTTTATTTATTCTATTAGTGTGAATATTCATACCTTTCACTGCTGAAATAATAATGCGTTTGATTTCCGTATGCTGACCTATAACCTGCTTAGGGATATTGTTACCTTTCTAGACTGCAAAATCTCTTAATTTTTGAACTATATATGGTCCTGAGATGAACAGGAGACTGTGACCCTGTATGAAATTTACCATTTGATACATTATTTCTTTGGGTACGGTTTTCTAAATTGATACTTGAATTTACATATTACCTTCAGAGAGACAGACTGTGAAGCATTTGGTTCACTGTAACTTTCTTTCTGTTTCTAATCTATTTCTCCCCATAACCTATAAAACAAAAAAATACATAAACATTGAGATTGCTACCTGTACCGTGAGATGCAGAACCTAATAGTCATCTCTTGAATGATATTTTGACATTTTTAAGATGAATTAGAATTCATATGATCACTCTTTCTGGATAAATTAATGTTGAGTTGATTTGTTCAAATAAGATTTAAGAAGAGACCATCTGAAAGAGTGAAAATGATGGTTAGCTCATCCTCTTAGAAACCTTATTTTTAATTCCTTGGTATTACCTTATTATATTTTTATGTGTAGAAAGACCCCTTAGAGAAAAGCTAACTTTGACACATTGGCTATTTTAACTACTTTTGTTAATGCATACAGGTTTCTCTAATCATTTAAGGAGTTCTCAACAATGGGAACACATAAAAAAATATATTTAAAGATAATTTTTTCCTTAATAAGCTGAGATTAAGGAGGGACTTCTATCTACCAGGCCCTGGTAAAAAAGACTGAAGTAGAATAAGCCACTTATAAAACTATCCTGGCATAAAGGATTATAGCATGTTGTATATCCCAGCAACCTAAAGGTAGTTCTTTTTGTACCTGTGGTATTGAAATGAGAGAATTCAGAGCCACAAGAGGGTATCTCTACCAGACCTCTGTCCTGGTAGAAAAAAGAGCAAGAGAACAAAATCAACCCTTAGTTGATAAATAACTCTTTCTAGCACACCCAAGTAGGAATCTGGAAAGTCTTTGAAGTTTTCCTTTCACCTTGATCTAAGAGAGACAGGAATTTAGGAAAGTATCAAACCAGTTGGACTCTTGCACCTAAAAAAGCCCTGGAACAGGTTGGATAAGTTGAGTTTCTCACTACTGTCTTACTGAGTGAGATCTGCTTTTTCCCGTGTCTTGATCCTCTCTAAGTAGTCATCTGTCATTAACCTGAGAATGAAGGGAAAAGAAAAATCTCTTCTGGTGATGAGATTCTCCTAAGGATTTTTCAGGGTAGTATGGATACCCTTTTCTATGGCCAGCATATTATTTTCTTGTCAGTGATGCTGGAAACTAAAGTAATATCGAATTTGATTTTGATTTGATCATTTGTTTATTCAAAATTTAATGACAAAAGCAGGTATGTGGTGATCAAACACTGGACTGAAATAATTGGATCCATTAAGGCACACTACCACCTTAACCAAAATGAATTTGCCATTTTCAGCATTTTAAACTAGTTAGGAAGTGAAGAGAAAGGAACAAATATTTATTAAGTACCTTATTTATGCTAGATATTTTACATAGATTATTTCTGCAGAAAATCCAATGAGATCCTCATAATTATATACATGAAAGTATTTACACATTAACTCCTTCAAAATATTTAAAACACTGTGTATACTAGTCATTGTAGTAGTCCCTGAAGGGAATACAAAGGTGGACAAGACCAAATTCCCTGTAAAGAAGTTTAATGTGTTGTGCCTGTGGGCTCTGATCTGTCGTTTCAAAAATCTTTTTTTTTTTTTTTTTTTTTTTTTTGAGACAGAGTGTTGCTCCGTCACTCAGGCTGGAGTGCAGTGGTGCGATCTCTGCTCACTGCAACCTCCGCCTCCTGGGTTCAAATAATTCTTCTGCCTCAGCCTCCCGAGTAGCTGGGACTACAGGTGCCCACTACACCCGGCTAATTTTTTTTGTATTTTTGGTAGAAATGGGGTTTCATCATGTTAGCCAGCATGGTCTCAATCTCCTGACCTCCTGATCCACCTGTCTGGGCCTCCCAAAGTGCTGGGATTATAGGGGTGAGCCACCATGCCTGGCCTTCAAAAATCTTTTAGTCATTCTGTCTCAACCTACTGAGATCTCTTCCATGTTGGAGACTCCAGTCCTCTCCAGCCTTTACTCCCGATCAAAATTCCCATTTTATTGTTATTAAATCTTGATATGATTGAAGTTAATCATAATGATTTGTGAATAAAGAATAATTTTATATAATACAAACCTAGTCCTTAGCAAATATTGATACTTTAGAGATGCCAGATAATATAGTAGAAAGAAAGGATAGTTTTAAAGTTTAACAGCACTGGAACTCATCTCAGTTTTGTCACTCACATCCTTGTGACTTTGAGTGAGTTATTTAATCTCTTAGCCTCAGTGTCATTCTGAACCTTAAATGAGATAATGAATGTAAAACTCCTGAAACAAGGAAGGAGAAAATGTTAGTTGTTTTCTCCTTCAGTAGAATGTCAAGTTCTACTTATGGTGTGGAAATGTGAACTCCTTATCAAGTGATCCTTCTGCAAATAACAACTATAAACTCTGAACAAAATATAGAAACAATAGCTTGAATGTCCTGCGGACTGAACAAATCCAAACAGGCTTTGGAGAGGAGTCAAAACTTGGAGCAAATGACAGACACAGAGTGAGTCCCCTGTTTTTCTGTAGCTCTACCCCTAAAGGCAGCTTTGATTTAAAACAAACAAAAATCAGTCCTCTTTCTGGCCAGAGGAACCAGGGCCACCAGAAGATAAGGGGTACAGGAGGAGGAACTGAAAAGAAAGATAACAGAGAAGTGGAACTCTTAAAATGAAGAGAAATGGAACCCTTAAGAAGAACCCAGAGTGTAAAAACTCAGTATATCTCTGGCCAACTCCTGAACCAGTTTAGTTTGGCCCGATAGGAACCTGGAAATTGTCACTCTAGTCTTCACAGGAAAAAACTAAACAAACGAACAGAATCCTGCCAAGGATTTTGAGAATTTTAAGTTGAAAAATTTAAAGTGTAGAATTTTAAGTTGAAAAATTTGAAGTGTAGTTGACAAATTTCCAAAGGGTCAGTTTAGACAAACTTGAGAGTTAAAAATTCATCCCCTTCTTAGGAGGGCTTCCCTAAACTTTTGTGTTGGATTAGGAATCCCACCAAGTTCTGAGTGTGTAAAGCTGAGAAAAGTCTCCCAGTACTTCTGGCAGGATGAGAGGAAAAGTAGCCATTTAGAAATAATGCCCAGAGCATTTTGTTGTTAATGAAAGCCTGCCCTCCAGGGGTACTTTTTCACTGAAGCCTAACCCACCCAGGGGAAGGGAGGTACCTAACTCCACATCCTTTAGCCTTCCTGTCTCATCTAAGTAGGGGTGGTAGTAGGAGGACTGGGAAATACTTAGATCACAGCCTAGGGGCACAGGCTCACTAAAAGACTGAGACCTAATCTTAAAATACAGTGTTTCCCCTCTCCAGGGATCACAAGGTCTGAACTACAAGTCTCAGACCTTTTTTAAAGTAGTCTTTAGGGAAACAGTGACAAAGGAGATGAAAACAAGGACACCAGAGGAAGTTTCAGCTACTGCAGCTGCAAAAAACAGTAAACATCCTAACCCCTAGCCAGATAAACACAAAATCTCACCCTAAAAGCCTGTTTACCCAGTACATCTCTAGCTTTCAACAAAAATTACAAAGCATGCTAAAAGGCAAAAGCACAGTTTAAAGAGACAGAGCATGTATCAGAACTTAACTTGGATATGACAGAAATGTTGAAATTGTCAGAGCACGAATTTAAAGTAGTAATGATTAACATGCTAAAAGCCGTAATGGAAAAAACGGACAACATGCAAAAATAAATGGGTAATATAAACTGAGAGGTGGAAACTCTAAAAAGATTTAAAAGGAAATACTAGAAATCTAAAAAATTGTAACAAATGAACAATGCCTTTGGGCTCATCAGTAGACTAGACTGAAAAATCAGTGAATTTGAAGTGATAGCAACAGAAAATTCTCAAATTGAAAAGTAAAGAGGAAAAGAAATGTAAAAAGGAACAGAATACCTAAGAACCAGGTCCATTAGTTAAAGTTGAAACATATATATAATGGGAATACTAAGAGGAGAAGAAAGAGAAAAAAAGAACACAAGAAATAGTTTAATACTAATGACAGAATTTTTCCAAATTAACGCCAGACTCATATACCACTCCTGTGTGGGGCAGCCTATAGTTAAGGAGCCAAGGCTTAAAAGAACTGGTCCAAGATCTGAACCACAATCTACTGGAAGTGTGATAATTTCCAGTTTTTCTGAACAAGTTAATTACTTGCTCCTAAAACAAAAATATCACTTTTTGTAGTAAAATGATGCCGAATTTTTATAAGATTTATAATGTCTAGAATACAATCCAAAATTACTCAAAAAGTGAAAGTGGGACCTACTCAAAGGAAAATGAAATGAACAGATGCAAACCCTAAGATGACCCAGATGCAACTGTCAAAGACATTAAAGCAGCTTTTATAGCTATGCTTCATAAGATAGAGGAAGTAATACACTTGGAATAAGTGGACAGGAAATGTCAGCTAGAGAAGTAGGAAATATCAAAAGAACCAAATGGAAATTTTGTCTGAGTGGACAAACAAAACACTCTAATGTTAGACCTAAAACCAGTGATATCAATAATCACCTTAAATATTGATAGACTAAATATCCCCATTAAAAAGCACAGATTACCAGAATTTAATTTTTTTAACTTTTGGGCTCAAGGGTGTACGTGCAGCTTGTTGTACAGGTAAACTCGTGCCACGGGTTTGTTGGGCAGATTGTTTTGTCACCCAGGTACTAAGGCTAGTACCCAAGAGTTATTTTTTCTGCTC